CACACAACACACACGACACACACACAACACACACACACACACACACAGACACACACACACACAACACACACACACACACACACACACACACACACAACACACACACACACACACACACACACACAACACACACACAAACACACACACACACACACATGTGTCATATTTGTCTCGTTCACACTAAAGACGTGTGCAGATTTTTAACACAAATAAGAGTTAATTTAAAGTTTATTTCAAACTCCAGTTAAAAACAAAACAAACTCGTGATTATTTTTATGTTCATATTTATAAATAAAAATATAAAGTTCCACAAACGCGTCGCTGTAAAAAAAAAAAAAATCTGAAAAACCAGAAACAATCAAATATCGACACTGAAACAGACTCCGGAAATTTAACTGACACTAAAACAGAAAAATGAAATAAACTGTTTTTCCATTTTATTGTTTTTTATTCTTGATTGAAATTTTAAAAAGTGAAGGGAACACGGAGCTCAGAGCGTCCAGTTTGTGATTGTCTCGTTCTGCTTCTCTGTCCTCGTGTTTCAGACTCAAATATAAAGATTCTCAAAGTGTTTTTTTTGTTTTGTTTGTTTTTTGTTTTGTCCACCAGGGGGAGACAGCAGGACTCGTGCGCTGCGTTCACTGAACACGGAAAAAATCAGAACAAACCAAATGAATTAGTTTCTCGGATGTTTTCAGGTTGTTTCATGTTTTGATAAAGTTTGAGTGTGAAGAGTTTGTGTGTTTCTGTGGATTTGTCTCCGTTTGTTTCTTTTCTTTCGCAGATTTGTCCAAAATAGAAACACTGGGACATTTTTGTATAAAACTGCAACAAATCTACAGAGACACAGAGACACAGAGACAGAGATAAATAAATAAAATAAAATTAAATAAATAAATTAAATTAAAGGAAAAAAAAAAAATTAAATGAAATTGAAAAATTATAATAAAATCTATAAAAAATAACAATAAAATACAATAAAAAATTAAATGAAATTAAATAAATATTAATAAAAATAAATAAAAATATACAAAAAATTAATAAAAAATAAATAATAAAATGAAATAAAAAAATAAATAAAAAGAAAAATTAATAAAATAACAAAACAAAACATTCCCGGGACAGAATGTGAGTTTTTTCCTCAAGCGTCGCCCAGAATCTGAATCAGAACCAACGACGACGATGAAGACGACGACGCGTGAAGAAAGTGAAAGTAAAAATTAAGGTTTTTGAACGTTGTCGTCGTGTCATTTCTGGATTAAATGTTTTTTTCCTTTATGGTTAAATTTATAAAATGACATTTATAGAATTTCAAATGGATTTATTTGATTGAAAAAGACTCACGAGACGTGTGCAAAAACAACACACAAAATATTAGTGACGCACAAAACAACACAAAACAACAGACAGAAAACACAACACACACGGTGTACAAATACTCCCTACAACTGTACAACTCACACGTATGTCACAGATAATACTCCCTACAACTGTACAACAACTCACACTTGTCACAGATACTACTACCCTACAACTGTACAACTCACACGTAGTCACAGATAATACTCCTACAACTGTACAACTCACCTTATGTCACAGATAATACTCCCTACAACTGTACAACAACTCATATACAACTGATAATACTCCCTACAACTGTACAACTCACCTTTATGTCACAGATAATATCCCTACAACTGTACAACTCACCCTTATGTCATAGATAATACTCCCTACAACTCCCTCTTATGGATCTTTTTATTTTCGAAGTGAATTTCTAATTTCCGAGTTGTTCGTGAACGCGGCACATGACCGCGCGTGAGCTCAGCCGGGGGCGCGTGCGCGTGTGCGTGAGGATTGGGCTCGCGCACGCGCACAGAGCAGCTCCACAAACAGGTGGTCACCGGAGTCCGGAGTGTCCGACGAACAGCGTCCGAATGCGGCCGAGAGTCGAGCCCCGGGGCCGCCCGTGACCCCCGCCCCCCCCGGAGCTCTGCCCCCGGCGAGTCTCCGCGGCTCACCCGATGTGCGCGCCTCTCCTCGGCTCGGATTCTCGCCCAGAAGCCGCGGCGGCTCCTGCCCTTCGTCCCCGCCTGCCCTCGTCCTCCCGTCGGCGTCGGGAGCCATGAAAGTGACGGTTTGCTTCGGCCGGACCCGCGTGGTGGTTCCGTGCGGCGACGGGAACCTGAAAGTGCGCGCGCTCATCCAGCAGGCCACCGTGCGCTACAAGAAAGCCATCGCCAAGGTAAGAGTCCCCCGCGCGGGCACCGGGGCGACGAGCTCCGCGGCGACGAGCTGCACTTTGTTTCTCCTTTTGTCAGCGCCTCAAACATGGCGCAAAAGTGTCGGATCACCGCGGGACGTGCGGCTTATACGCGCGGCGGCGGTTGTCTTTGTGCTTTTGCAGCAGCGGGACTCGCGCCGCGGCTTTTCCTGCACTTTTCCGCAGTTTGCAGAGACTTGTGCGGGGCTTTGTCGCTGCTCTTTCGCCGCGCGGAGGAGCTGCTCCGTAAAACCCAAACACGCCGCGTCTGCGCGTCCGGAGAGTTTGCGGCGCAGTTTAGCGTCACTCCGGGTCATTCGAGGGGCTTATTTGTGCATTTTAATCAGTTTTGTGCAACAGTTGCGCCGCTCTCGTGCGCACGCTCCGCCATTGTGGCTCCACACTTCTGGAAAAGCACCAAACTTCCTTCGGGACGTTTGACGCAATCGGGAAAAGCGCGACGTGAGTTTGGGACGTGAGTTTGGGGCGCGGGGGGTTCGTGGTCTGGTCCTGGTCCTGGCCCGGGTCCGGGTCCTGGTCCTGGTCCTGGTCCTGGAGCGGGGCCGGGGCTGTGGGTTTCTCCAGGCGGGGGCAGGGCCGTGAGTTCGGGGCTGTGGAAGTGAAGCTCCGGCGGTGACACATCTGGGCCGGACTGATGGTGGTGTTGTTCTCGTGGTTCTCGTTGGTTCTCGTGGTTCTCGTGGTTCTCGTGGTTCTCGTGGTTCGTTCTCGTGGTTCTCGTTGGTTCTCGTTGGTTCTCGTGGTGGTTCTCGTGGTTCTCGTGGTTCTCGTGGTCTCGTGTCTGTCAGGATCTGAGGACTTTTTGTTTGTTTACTGTTTGTTTTTTGGTCTTTTACAAACACAGATTCTGTGTTTTGGTGAAACAAATGAGAGATTCTGCCCCTGAAGATGAGACTAGACAAAAACTGTGATGGTCCTGGTTTAGTCCTGGTTTAGTCCTGGTTTAGTCCTGGTTTAGTTCTGGTTTAGTCCTGGTTTAGTCCTGGTTTAGTCCTGGTTTAGTTCTGGTTTAGTCCCTGGTTTAGTCCTGGTTTAGTCCTGGTTTAGTCCTGGTTTAGTCCTGGTTTATAGTCCTGGTCCTGGTTTAGACCTGGTTTAGTCCTGGTTTAGTTCTGGTTTAGTCCTGGTTAG